CACAGGAGTATCGTTTAAAAATTGTGCTAAATAAGACGCATCAATATCAATATCTTTTCATATATGTGTTTGGGTACCTTAGTATTCCGCCACTAGTACCATCAATAAGTGACTCAATCATATTCAATTATGCACATACAAACAGTCAACATAAACATATTTTTCATGTATTCGTGGCATGCAATTCAGCATACTATATAAAACATACACTGAATGCGTAAGAGTAAGTAACTACAACATTCATAACAATATGATCGATAAAAAAAATATCTTAATCTAAAAAAAATATGTGCAAGTGTCATTAACTGTAAAATAATTGAGAAGAAACAAATTGTTACCTAGATTAAAAGGACGAGTACTCACCTTGATGACAATTAATTTGTTTTTAAATTTATCTTAACCTCGACCTTTTTAAGAATTTAAGCCTACAATAAATATGTGTATAAAATTTAATTAATTTATTATTTTAAATAAATTATTAACTTTTCATTATTCAAATATTAAATTTTCATGTTTATTTTATGTAACCATATACAAAATTCATTGATAAAAATGAGAGGATACAAAAGTTTTAGTGAGTGAGGACAAATAGCCCACTCACAGGGATTACAACCTACATGTAATCCCCTAAAAATATAACAAAAAAAAAAAATTTTAATCATGGTGGGTGTAGTCGGTGGATATATCGCTTCCCCTTCCCTTGGATTTAGGGAGTCCAACGACATATTGAGATGTGGGCTTCCGCCCGAAATTATGAGACAGTCATCCTGAGTATCATTGAGATCTAACATTCATTTTTTTCTTCTTTTTAGATTTGTAAACCAGCCAATCATCTGCTAGAGGTAGTCCCGTCTGGACAATAGATGGATCTTTGTTGGAGAGCTCACCCCGGGGGTTATGTTGATTCGTAAACTGCTGATCTGACTCAGCTTGCAGCACACCTTGATCCTGACACTCCTTCAGAACCTGAGTATCTTCTTCTCTCGCAATAGGTGGTACTAAGACACTTCGGCTAGCATCTGCTACAACAAAATTCATAGTATTTGTGATCAGAATAAGAGCTGCCACAATAACAGCAGACGAAAGTTGTTGCTCTGATTGGTGAGGAGTAGCTTTATGAGTCAAATTTTCATTCAACATTTCTGGAAGATTAACAATGTCTACTATATTTTCCTCCACATGGATGATGACCTGCCGATCTTAAATGTGGGTAAAACCTGAAGCTTTTAACAGGGGTGTGCCCAAACAGTTTACAATGATTGCAGTAGTAGGGTCTTTGTTCTGCAACAATTGTCTGCCAATACCCATTGTGGGCAGTATCAGGCCATCTTTTATCCACATCAGGGAGGGTGATATCCCTTGCAACAAAAATTCTTGCAACCAAATGTTTGGTTAGATTGAAGGTGGGTGTATCTAACTTCGTAGGTCTCCCTAGTGCAGCTCTAATAGAATAGAAGGCTTGGTGATTGAAGTAGTGCAACTTTAGGTTAGGTAATTTAAACCAGATTGGAACTATAGGTGGTTCTTGGCTAGGGTCAAATTCAGGAAACCACTTAAGCAGTTTCATATATTTTCCATCTATTGTCATAAACTTTTTGGAAAATATTTTGGCATAGTCTTCCACTTTAGAGTATCCTTCCACTTTAGATAATTGTATCATCACATGTCTCCCATGAAAGAGGCAAACCTTCCAAAGTCTCAATAGTTTGAGATTTTCAAAAGTTTTTCGAACGCTTTTCATTTTAGGATGTCCTGATTGGAACTTCCCAATGAGGGTGAATTTGCACTTGTTAACCATGTTGGAAACTTCAACATCAGAGAAGAATAAAACTAGTTTGCCACTCTTCTTACACGTCTTCTTGATTAGGTTCAGTCCTCCTGCCTTCGAATGATTCATGGTAAACCTGAGAGAAAACCTGATCTGATCCCATAGAGCCAACCATATCAACAAAAGAAGCCTTCCCAATGTTTAAAACTAAATGTTTAAAACTTTGAGAAGGAGCAGTAGCCATGGAACAGGGAGTTGAACAGCGGCAAGCTACATGGATTAAATCGGCAAGCTA